TATATTTATGCAATGGAATATGAATAATAGAGGGAGGTGAGATACTGAAATGCCCAAAAACATGTATGAACCTCAATGACAATGTGTTGGTCAGGTAGGAAAGCAAGACACCAATGTGTTTACAAAGCATGATTCCACTTATGTTCTTGAAACAACAGGCAAACAGGTAAAGTTAATATGTGGGGATAAAATAAGAACAGAGTTGACTTCTGTAGTGAAGATGGGCAGAAGACAATTTTCTGGGGTTTGAACTCCAGTTTAGGTTGTTAGACAAATTCTCAAACATTTTTTTAAAAGTTTTACTGGGGTTTGAACTCAGGACTTTGCACTTGCAAAGCAGATGTTCCACCGCTTGAGCCACACCTCCAGTCCATTTTGCTCTAGTTTTTTGGAGATGGGGGTCTCATAAACTATTTCTCTGGGTTAGCATTAAACCAGGATCCTCATGATCTCAGCCTCCCAAATAGCTAGGATTACAGTTGTGAGCCACTGGTGCTTGGTTTGTGCTCTACCAGTGGAGCCACATTTTCACTAATATTTTATATCTTAATTAGGATGTACACATTTGTTAAAGTTTAATATTTGTGCATTTATTGTGCAATTCTATTCAGATAATATAATTTTATTCACCTCAATAAAAATACAAAATCAACAACAACACCAGAAATCTGGAACTTTGAGAAGATCATGTTATTAGCAGGATAAAAGATTATTAATAAGCCTCTGGCCAGGTTAACTAAGGGGAAAAAAAAAGAGGAGCTGTAAATCATTAATTTCAGAAATGAAAGAGAGGACATCACTATAGATCCCATGGATATTAAAGGGATAATAATGGAATACTATAAACAACTCTAGGCCCACGAATTTAATAACTTATGTGAAATGGACCAATTCCTTGAAAAATACATCTGCCAAAACTAACACCAGAAATAATAAACCATTTGGACTGGTTTATTTCTATTAAATAAATTGAATCATAATTAATAACTTTACAAAGTAGCACCAGGCCACAATGGGTATAATGGTGAATTCTGCCTTTTATTGTGTGTGTGGTACTGCTTGCTAGACAGGCACTCTACCACTTGAGGCCTTCCTCTAGCCCAAATTCTACCAAATATCTTAGAAAAACATCAATTTTCTAAAATCTTATCTGAAGACTGAAGCAGAGAGAACACTTCCTAATTCATTCTACGAGGCCAGTATTTCCCTCATACTAAAACCAAATAGGACATTACAAGAAAAGAAAACTATAGACCAAGATCGCTCATGGACACAGTGTAAAGTCCTTAACAAAATATTAACAAATGATATCCAATAATGTATAAAAAGAATTATGGACCATGACCAAGTGGAATTTATTGAAAGTCTGCAAAACTGGCTTAACATTCAAAATGTAATCCATCATATCAACAGATTAAAGAAGAAAAAACATATGATCATTTTAGCAGATAGTGAAAAAATATTAAGACAAAACACATTCATTCATGAGTAAAAGCTTTACAAACAGAATAAAAGGAAGCTTGCTAAAGAACATCCATTTCAAATTCTTGTGGTTAGCATTAATCTTCTTGGACTGTGACTCAATAGAAACCAGACTGTGTTGTCTGAGTCAACATTTTCCTCCATATTGTCATTCTCAATTGCTTCAAGATCTGGCAGTTGAATTTAAACCACACTTCTTTATTTTTGTTGAGAGGATTTTAGCTTTTAATGGGGAAAATGATCCATTTTAAGGGCTATTTTTACTACTGCAAAACAAGGTTGCACTGTATAAATACATACAATATGATAATGTTCTAAGAAAGTATATTGGACTTTTCCTGAGCACTCACTATAGACCAGACAATGCACTAAGTACGCTATGTATACCATTACTTTTGTTCTTACAATGATCAAATGTTGATAACCATGAATTGTGAACATCATTAGCCATGAACCTGTGCAGCTCCATCTACACCTTACAGGTGGTGATGCCTGGAAGAGAGTAAGAAGACAAGCAGATTAAATCAGGTCTGTTGAGTTAGAATCCCACTCTTTATTATGTTCAATTGCCTGTAAATTGTTCTTTTCTGTAAAATCAAAGTGGATCCACCTTGGTTCAGACGTTGGTTGTGAGAATTAAGATTAAAATAACATAAGCATTTTGTAACTGAAAACTATAAAATATGTCCTCATAATGTTAAGAACTTAATATCTTTCTGAGGCTGAATAAACCTCTACATTTTTCTGTCCCTGCATGAATTTGGGTGATAAAAGATTGGATATGTCTAAGAAGTCCAAAGTTTATATTCTGAACCCCAAATTTCCTGAAAATGCATCTTGGCTGTGCTTTTACTATTGCTTGAGTCTAGTAACACCAACACACCCACATACGCCCCCAAAGATACATAAAGTATGCTTATTGTAGATAAGCAGGAAGGGATAACAGAAGCCTAGGATTCATAATATTCCTCCCAAGGCTCAAGAAAGCTGCCCAGTGAAGATGGAGTCTAATTTTATGTGTCATACTTCCACTGCAGACAAGGGACGCCAGGAAGCAGTCTATGTTGGGTTTTATACTCTGGGGCAACTTGATTTGCTAGGCTAATGTGTTGAAGGACATATTGATTCTATGTAGGATTAGAACAGAGCATGGGCTATTTAGTCCAGTACCTCCATATCTCAGGATGCTACATTCCCAGCACATCCACAGTTATGCTTAAGAGCTACAAGAAAGTAGGGAGAACTGTGTTGGTCTAAGGCCACACAGAGAATTTTCCTGCATTAAGACACCTCTGCCGCAGTCCAGCTGCAGCGGGGACTCCAGCTCTGGCCTTGGGTGCTCAATCGGTGAATAACAACATGAACTCAGGGTTGTGCGGGCAGCAATGGCGTAGTTTATTTTCTGAAGAGAGTATTTAAGCAGCGCAGAAAAGCAGGAAGGAGCACATGGCAGTCCCCAGGTTTCCCTTGACCTCTGTACTAGGATTGGCTGTCACGCTGCTATGGCTAGGAGCCCAAGTGTTCTTGGGACTGGATCTTCCCGGTCCCACGCAGAGAACAGGGGAGTTCAGCAACCGTCCTCTTGGACTGTTGCAATCTCTCTTAGGGCTGTTGCACAAAAGCTACGGTGACTCTACTCTTTTCCAAGAGGCTTTGGGGGTCCTGAGGGTTTCCCACACACCTCCATCTCTAGCCTACTGAAGGTTTTCTTTTTTCAGAAGAAAAGTGGGTCTCCACTGCCCCAGCCCTCTTTAGGAAGCTGAATATCCTTAGACTTGTTAACAGTGCCTTTGGCTACTTTAAGAGGAAAAGAAACAAACAATTGGTGACAGATGCTAGGATCTACACTTTAGAGGGGATTGTCAGATGTAGAGGTGGCCAGAATCCTTTTATTTAAGCTTGCAATTTGAAGTACAAAAGATACAGCAGTAGGTGCCTGCAAATCTGAGAGCTGGCCATTGGGACATGTGACTGATGGCTCTAATCCTGTCAGAGTGACAAACATGGGCCAAAGAAGCCAGCACACCAGAGAAATGTGGCAAGGTGTCAGCTGGGAGTGTGGGGATGTGGCGTCTGCAGAAAAGGTCGTCAGATCTCAATGGGTGTCTAGGGAGCTTCCTTAGCAGAGCATACTGGAGCTACAAAAACAGCAAGTGTTGGTCAGTGAGGAAAAAGATGGTAGACTTTCCTGGTCATGGCCTTGCCCCTTGCCCTCTTCCTTGATGACCATCAGAGGAGTTGTGCATAGCAGACAGGGAAGACAGAAGTGTGTGAAAGGTGTGTCCAACTGGCACTGTCTTAGGCTGAGCTGCCAAAGGGAAGAAAGGACATGAGATGAGTTTAAAATAAATTGAAGTGAATCTTACAAACTGAAATGAGATTAGTTAAAAAAACTGACTATGAAGAAAAAAATTAAGGCATGTACACAAGAATTTAACAGATGTTTCCCAATGGGAAAGGGGCTTATACAGAACAAAGATTAGGTAGATTACACAATACAGTTATATATATCCCTGTGTTTATATATTTATATGAATAATAACACATATCACACACACATATCTATGCTATAAATAGATGATAAATAGATATGTCGTGTAGGATAAGCCTTGAGGTACAGGATGGGATTTGGAGAATACCTAGCTGGAAAACAGGAATTGAGAAGGGAAGAACTTAAGCAAAAGGGGCAAAAATAGTACAGAACTGTTGTGGGGAAGTTCAGAGCTGGCCTAAAGGGCCACTTTGGACATCAGATCGGCTAGAACATTAGTGTAAAAGGTATGTCAAGGCAGGATGGCAGTTTACATGAAATAGTGGAGGTGACCAAGATTGGGCATCATGTCCATTTTCCAATCCTCTGGCTCAAAACTGGTCAATAATCATTTGATGAATTAGTAAATAAAAGAATAGCGTCTGGATCACTAGACGGCAGAGCCTCTCTTATGAACCAAGCAATAGATAGCCAGTAAGGACTCTATGTCCAACAGCTGTGTTTCAGGAACATTACTGAAAATGCTCATTTGCACTCTTGGAAGAGTAAGCATCAGCTGGGAGAAGTTGAACCATACCAGGACCTCTCTATGGGGCACACTCCAGCCTTTGGGGACACGAAAGTGTCCTGCTTGATCCCCGGCATCAAAACTTGCTGCCTGGCACCCTTACGTTCTTTCTGGTATTCGTAATTTCCAGTTCACTTGGATCACTTTTACTTCTTGGAAACTCTTTCTGTCAGGGCCATGAGAGGAGACCCAGAGCATAAGACACCCAAGACGTCAGGTCCCTGGAACGGTGCATTACACCCACGGCAGGTGTCCCTTATTGGGATGCTGCAGGCGGGTGGGGTGGGGGCGTCTGCGCTTCGTCCTCCACACGCCTAGGGGGCGAACGCGGTCTCAGGCTCACGCTCTCCCTGGCGGCGCCCGGCTTGGCCACAACCTCTACCCAGAAGGCGCGTCAGAGTTCCAGGCCAGCCAATCACAACTGTCCATGTACTAACGGGGGCGGGGCTGCCAAGGGAGGAGGAAGATGGCGGCGGGGGCGAGGTGAGGTGTTGGCAGTAGAAAGGAGTTTGGGCGCGGGGGGTGGGGGGCCCCGGAGCGATGGCCCGCGCCGGCAGCAGGGGCGGATAAAAAGCTGTCGCGCCGCGGGTGTGGGAAGGAGGGAGAGGAGGGCGCCCGAACGCCACAAGAGTATGACGGGGCTGTACGAACTGGTGTGGCGGGTGCTACACGCGCTGTTCTGCCTGCACCGCACGCTCACCTCCCGGCTCCGCGTTCGGTTCGGCACCTGGAACTGGATCTGGCGGCGCTGCTGTCGCGCCGCCTCCGCCGCGGTCCTAGCGCCGCTCGGCTTCACGCTCCGCAAGCCGCCGGCGGTCGGCAGGAACCGTCGTCACCAGCGGCACCCTCGCGGGGGGCCGGGTCCCGCCGCCGCCCACCCGCGGCTGCGCTGGCGCGCGGACGGTTGTGCCCTGCAGAAGCTGCCTGTGCACATGGGCCTGATCGTCACTGAGCAGGAGCAGGAGCCCAGCTTCTCGGACATCGCCAGCCTCGTGGTGTGGTGTATGGCCGTGGGGATCTCCTACATTAGTGTCTACGACCACCAAGGTGAGGCCCGGTGGGAGGTGGGGTGGCTGCACCGGGTTTCCCGGACCTCCGCGCCTCCAGTTCAGCTTTATTGAGCATCTACTAAGTCCCTGCATTTGACTCTGTAGGTTTTTAAGACTCTAAGACTATCTCCTAATCCTTCATAATACTCCAGTAAGATAGGTGTATTTGTGTACCTTTGTTTCACAAAAGCGGGAGCCGAGGTTCGAAAACATTAACTGATTTGTATAAGGTCACAAGGGTAGTAATGGGGAAGTGGGAATTCTAGCCAGTCTATGCTTTTTTCACAGTCTTTACGATATGATGACACCTGAGTGTCTTCTGAGGTCAAGGCACTGCACGTAAGTGCGGTCAGGCTGTGTGGAAGTACTGCAAATTGGAGCGGTTGGGGTCAGGTGTTACTTGAACTGAGTTTATGAAAAGTATGTGAGAAACTGGATAGGACAGGCAAAAAGGAAGATGAGTTTCCCTTCTGTTTATGGAAGTCTGTGATTATGTGATCCGTAATCTTCAGTGGCCTGTACTGTATCAACTGTCTTCCCATCAGTTCTGATTGAGGGAATGAATTTCATTCATCACGGAATTTTGCAAGTACAAAAACGCAACACTTACTTGGTGGCAGCAAGCCTAAAGCACAGTGGCAGGCATATTCCTTGGAATCTTGCTTTTCATCCCATGAACTCTCAGGCTTGTGGGGAGAAGGTCATATAACTCACCTACGTGACATGGGACATTTAGGGGAGTGAAGTCAATACAGAAGGGAGAGAGAAGTTCTGAATAAAGGAACTTGAGAGTTCATGCAAAGGAGTTGGAATATGGTGGGACACTGAAGAATACTAAGATAAAGTTGAGGAAGGCTCTAAGTGTCGGATTTGGATTTCAATTAAATTCTTAATGCATTGGAATTTTCTTAAAAAGATGTGGTGATAGTGATTTAGGAGTATCAGTATGAAGGAAAGAAAATGAATCTTGTTTTCTGTTCAATAACTGAAGTTACCTGTATGCGTGGAGAAGTTACAACTTGAGTTTTATCTTTAAGTCTTCATCAGGTAGGTAGATCTAAGAGCAGGACTTTGTCGGTATAAGCAGTAATCTCTGCCTGCCCTATCATCTTCCTTGCAGCCACAAGGAATGTGGTTATGGAATATGGTTATGTAGAAACCTGTCATCTCAAGTGATGATTTGCTCTCTAGGGTAAAGTTTAATATATTCAGAGACTGATGTGGAACTTTCTGATGAATTTAGCAGACCAATAGAAATCCTGAGGCTGTTAGGAGGTGACACAGCCCTTGCCTGAAGCAATGCAATCATCATTGTCTGGGGAACAAAGTAAGTGAGCCCGAAATGGAAATTAGTTGAAGACATTAAGCAGTGTGGTGGACTGATTTAAATTCAGGTGATTCTTTGAGTACCTTTATCTTCCAGTAGGGCTGGAAAACATATAACTAAATTATTTGACTTGGTGACTGCCTCCAAGCACGGATTATAATGTTGTCACACTTCCTTGTTCCTGTAGTTCCTGTTACTGAATTTCTGATGTGATTCAGACATACTGTGTCATACCACTTAAAAGAAGAATGGTGATGAAAAGGAAGAAATCAAGTCAAACCAAGTTTTGACTGAGAAAAAGGAGATTTATGGTGCATTTTTCAGAGAATGGATTTAGAGATTTTTGTGACATAAAAGTTTTTTTTTTTTAAACAGATAAGTGATAATTTCATTGCTTCAGTAAGAGACCTTCAATTGACCTGTCCTTGTTTTTGACTGATTCATTCATTCAACAAGTGACTGTTGGGTATATATTAAATACCACATACTCTTCCAGGGATGGGCATGCAGGAGTGAACAAAACAGACAAAATTCTCTGTGTTCACCGAACCTTAGGTTCTGGCATCTAATACAAATGGATAAAACATGAAGTATTAGAAGTATAATGAGGAAATATAAAGCAGGAAAAGGAGATAGGAGTGTTGAAAGTCAATGGTGTAGGAAGTGGTGCAGTTTTAAGTAGGGTGACCCAGGAAAGCCTCAGTGACTTGTTGATAGACTTGAGTTAAGGAAGCAAGCCATGTGGATATATGAGAAAAATCCACCTTTTTTTCAATGTAGATACTTATGTATAGATAATAGTATAGATATGTAAGCTTTATTCACTTTTTTCCCTAAGCATGCTTCTATTTAAGCCTATTTTCATATAGATAGTTAGCTTATAAAAATCCTATTGACATACTCACAAATCTATATTTATTGAATACCTATTGTGGTATAGAGCACGGCAGTACTAAGAAGTACATGAATGCTGCCTCTTAAGAAGTTCACACTAAAGGAGGGATAGCTATGAAAAATTAATGCAAGCTAATATGCAGACTTTATTTAAGGAGATAAAAGGGGGGAATTCCCTGAGGAGCATTATTACCCCAGTGTGTCTCTAGGAAGAACAGGAAATAACATTTAAGCTGAACCTAGCAAAAATAGAATTTGAGTCAGCTTGAACAGTATAGTCTTCTGTGAGTCTATGTGAATGGGGAATTCCCCAAAGGTAGCATTCCCATTAGACTGTCCTGAATAATATCATTGAATAGAGTGTTGGCAATAGCTAATGTAACAGATACGTTTATGTAATGAAAAGTACTAGAGTTAGGTATAGATGAAGTTTTGGGCAACTGTTCTATTTATTTATTGCTTTGTAGAAATCTGTTACAAAGTACAGTGTTTTGAAACAATCTTACGTATTTCTCAGTTCAGTTGGGCATTTTTCCTTGAAGTCACTTACATGATTGTGGTCATATTGCAGGCTGGAACATACAGGTTTCTCAACATGTGTCATCTGTCTGTGATGCTGGAATACCTGAGAGCAGATTGTTCCATATGGGTAGCTTAGACTTTGTCAACTTAATAATGGCCTCAGGGTTATTAGACTTCTTAAAAAGTAGTGAACTTCTTCCAGATCAGATGTTCCCAGAGGCTGAGCCAAAGACCAACATGGCACAGATTCTTCTGTCCTATCTTAGGAAATCAAAGTCATATATCTGCCCGTAATTAAGGAAATGAAGAAATAGGTTTCACTTCTCACTGGGAGAAAGGTAGGGAGTTGGGGGATAGATAGCAGCCATTTTTGGAGAGAAGCTTATCACCTTCATTCTTCCCTGCCCCATTCTGCTTCACCCAAAAATTTATATTTAAGTAAATATTCTAAATATGATTGGATTAGGTTATTCTTAATCCTTAGGGTAAACTATCCACTGATATTTACCTTGATTTGACTCTGCTAGCAAACAAACTGATGTTTTTCGTTTTAGTTTTTTGAAACAGGGTCTCAGTGTGTTGCTCAGTCTGGTCTCAAACTTCTAAACTCAAGTGATACTCCTGCTTTTGCTTCCCAAGCAGCTGGAACTATAGGTGAGCTCCACTTAGTCAGGCTAAAAAACACTTTTTTCCTCTCTTGAGGATCAAACCTTAGACCTTTTGCATGCTAAGCAAACACTCTACCACTAAACTACACTGAGCCCTAATCTTTTTATTTTTCATCTTACCTGTAGTATATCTTGATTGTAATAAATTCTGCCAGTGTTTCTTTCATCTAAAGATCTTTCAGAAACCAGAGTTGTTTTCTAGCAAGAGTGGTCAGGAATCTTTTTTGAGCTCAGGATTCTTGTAAGGAGATTTGGCCATTTCATCTACATGATTATAATTTTAAAAAATGACTGTAACTGGATTGTACAAATACTAGGCTTTGGGGCAAAACTGTGACTTAAGGCTTTTGGTGTTGCAGCCTTAGGGATGCTGTGCTTGCTAGTGTCTCACTTGAGGTAAGTTATCTAGATATGTGTTATCTTCAGTGATGGAACCTATTCTTGTTACCCAGCTGTATTGGTGCTGTGCTGGGAAACTTGCTGTAGGTCAGTATTTTTTCAAAGCACCTGTGGATGAGTCATCAGGGATGCTTACAGGAAATACTGATTGAACACCTTGATTAGGCTGAATTAAGGGAGTAGGAACTCTTATTTTTGTCAAGCTACTTAGGTGATACTATGTACACCTTAACACAGAACAAAAGGTACTCTACCTCTTGTCTGCTTCCCTTATTAAGATTATTCATCCTTCATATTCTCCCCCTTGCCCCCCAGTACTGAGGATTGTACCCAGGTTCTTGCATATGTTAGGCAAGTGTGCTACCACTTGAGCCACCAACACTCCCCTCCATCCTCCCCTCACACAAGTCCTTCATGTTCTTTTTCAGAGTGAGAATAACTTGGGATGCGATTTAGTGTTGCTTACTTTTTAGTTGGGGGCACAGATTTCTCACACTACCCTTAAAAAAGGTCTGCCAGTGCCATCCCAGCCTTCCCAACCTATTTCTTACAACTCTGTACCTTTTATTTTATCTATATCTGGGTAATGTGATGTTACCTCCTTCTGGAATGTTCTCTTTTTTTTTCTGGAAAATGATTGTGTACTTCCAGAAGACTATTATCAATCCTGAGTCCATCTGATCACCTTTTATTACTCTCTCTCGACTATTCCTCTATCTTGGTCTGTCTTTGAATCTCCTCAGAATTTCCTGGATCTCTGAAGGTACTTCTATTCTCTACTTTGTATGTATGTGTATCTGAAGTTTCTTGATGCTATCTGTCCTTCTCATTTTTGCTTCTCTTACAGAGTGTGACTTGGTGTTATGCCTTTAATGGGTGATCAATATGTATTCCTCAAATTCTTCAGGACTGCATTTCCTGAATATAAACATAATGAACTGAGTTGAAATTTTTGTTTCCTAACACAAGCCCTAGAAAGCTTAAGGAAAATGAACTTAGTTAGCTCCAGTTTATAATTTGTCACATTGACACTGGGAGGTATGATTCTTATGATTGTTCTCCTTTTGTTGAAATTCTCAGGTGCTAGAATTGTTAAAAGTCCAAATATGAGTATATTTGATACACTGAACAGTACAACCTGGAGTGCTTGTGTCCTGTCATGTGGAAACTCATGTCAGGGAACCTTCT